TTGTGTCAATTTCTGAGCCACCATGTTAACGCGGCCAAAACTGTATGTACACGGTATTATTATGAAACCACAGCATTTAGTCAGCTGATCAATATTCGACTTGTCAAGTCAAACTTAAATAATAAAGAAAAAGGCTACAAAAATTCAGTTCCTTGGCTATCACAGGCTGCCATGGTTAAAATGAGATCTGAGAGAAATCTCGAAAAATGGTCTAAATGGTAGCAGTTGTGTTTAACCTCAAGCTCTCTCCAAAGGTAGTCCAACTTTTTTACAGTTTTTACAACAAAACATTTTAGCATTTGTGTCAAAAAAATAAATACTTTTCAACTAAGTAACAACAAAGTTACCAAAAAAAATCATATATTTTACTTTGATAAGTGGCATTAATGCTGTGTTTAGCCTCTAGTGAACATTTCATATGCTAGCATGGTACTTTGCTCTGTACCATGTACTGAACTGATAGCTAAACTGGTATCCCTGCCTCCTGCATCTTTTCCCATCAAACTAAATAAATAATTTTCATAACAATTTCAGCACATACATCACTATCAGCTTGTTCTGGGCCTTTGGTTTGAAATGAAGCATTGGTTTTATCCAGGACTCGCTGAAGCTGGAATCAGACGGTAGCAAAAAAAGCTAGCTGAGCAAGAGTATCACATGTCCATTATAATAGTACCATAACATACAGCTACAAATCAGGCATGTTCACATTGAGTTTAACTTAAACCCTAAAAGGTTTAAGTCAATCCTAACATGAGCAGGACCTACATAACTTGTACAAACATACTGACTATATGTGGTAAGCTCAAAGCACATCTCATAGAAAACAACCAGGTACTAAGAGCACAAGGTTGAAGAGGAACAATAATGCCACAACTGGTTTCCCTCTGTGTCAACATCTACTGCTGGACCTCCATTGGCATTGCAGCAATACCCATACCATAGGCCAAAAATATGTCCACACTCTGACAACAGATTTTTTTTGTGAATATATTAACCAATCCTGTATTTTAATATATATGGAATTGTTCCAATTCATAAGTGCTGTGAACTTGGCAATACCACAGGAGACCAAGTGAATATTCTGTGATTTGCAACAACTGTTTTAAAGCAGTAAAAAACAACTTTTCAGAGAAGAAAATAACAAATATTTAACAAAATATTCAGTGAAATCTGAAGATATATACATATATACATTAATGCATTTCAACATTTTTATAACAAGTGGCAGTTTCTTTATCCTTATTAAAAAAACATCAAAATATCCCATGCAATATATGGGTTCAGGTCAATGAAATTTGGTAAAAGAGGTATATTGGTATATAAAACAAAGTATGGCCCCATTTCACAAAGAATCTTCAATCCGTTGTTGACAAGGATGGGTGCATGTGTTCACAAGACTGCTTTAACATGGTTCCTGGTAGGGTAAGATGTGTGCATGTGACCATGTGACGTTGGTAACAAAGACCTTAGTCAGGAAACTTTTTTTTTTTTTTTTGGAAACAGGGGCCTGAACTTAGTGATTACTGGTACAAAATGGTTCTCTTCAAAAAAAAAAAAAAAAAAAAAANAAAAAAAAAAAAACCAGGTGTCTGACTGATGGAAATCACAGAAATCCACTAGGTACAATATCCATAATTATAGGTATGCTTCAAAATGCAAAAATAAGGATTTGGGCAACTTAAAAAACACCTAAATATGAACAAGTGAGCATTCAAACATGCACTGCAATAGTGTCATATTAATTTAATATATATTTAAACATATATAGAAAGTTATATATAGATATACATAAAGCAACTGTGATCAAAGGAACCTCTTCTTCATAACTTTGGACTGGAATATCAAAATCATTATTCAGTCAGGGATGTTTATTAACTGTACAAGTAGGGAAGGGGGTAGGGGTACTGGAAATAAAATGGTTACTAAAAGAGACTTATTAATAAGATGGTGACTTAGTGCAGTAGTCGTGTCCTCTTGTATTATTCCATGCATTGGCCCTGAGTACAGAACAGAAACCCAAAATAATGAAGGCTTTTAAGCTGGCAGCATACAAGCAGACAGCAGAATCTCAGTACGGGTCTATTGGTTTATATTGCGTTATATCTCATATAATAATTAACATATCATTTACATACCATTAGTGTGTGTGGTTGTATGTAGTAATAAACAGCACTAAAGCGGATTGCCTTGCCACAGATCCCAAAAAGCTGCAGCCAATCTTAAACCAATGCCCAGTTTTAAACCCTAAAAGTTTAACACCAAAAGCAGTGCTGTCCTTGTTTTTATGATATCATCATGGTAAATAGGTGTCAGTCTCCATAATACAATATTTGGAAATATTTCACTTTTTTCCTAATCCCTCTCTCAGTGCCACAATGTATCAAACACAGCCAATCAGAACCTGTCATTCTTTTGACCAATGGGAAAGCTGTGTACAGTTTATGTACAACAAATGTTAAAAAAGGAGGGAAGACGTAGAGAGAAAAATTCCATTATCTCAGAAGTTGCAGGACCCAGAGGCTGAGTGCCAGAGAGTTAAAGGCATATCAATAGCAGTATGAAGACAGTGAGGAAGGAGAGGAAGGTGCAGGCATATATAGGACTTGATTTATTTTAAGCAACATGGCAGTACACATTATACAGCTTATCAAAATTAAAATCAAATTATAAATAAATAAACTTAAGTGCTATCATGCGCTTTTTAAAGGAACATAGGAGCTGTCTAGTGCACAGAGTTATGGACAGTGTAACATACAAGCTGCCAAATATTCATAGGCTTTCTCTTTGGTCGAGGATCAGTTTCTAAGTCATCATAGGGAACCTCCATGGAGCCGGCTGTGTTTTCTCCTTTAATAACTGCAAACGGGCGTTGGCTGTGCTCAACAGAATCCACGTGTGATGGGGACGCAAAAACATTGGCCAACTGAAAGGAGTCGACATGAGAAGAAGATAGAATTTTTGAATCAGTACTAGCATTTCATCAACACCACACCAAGTAGCAATTGGCCGAGAGGTTCTTTGCAAGCCATGTCATGCATTACTGAATGACTAAATATATATCACATGGTGCATGCACCGGGGTATATAGGAAATACATATGCAAATGATGCTGCTGGGGCACTTGCATTCCTTTTTTTCTAATTTTTGAATTTTTTTCAGGCTATCAATCAAAGAAATAAAAAAGATATTTGGCGTGGAAAAAATGCAAAAATTGTTCAACATCAGACATTCTGTACGAAATACCTTTTGAGTAAATCATTCAAACGCCAGATATAATACATTCATGTAAGCATGTGACAGGCCTCACCGTTTTATACGTTAACATGCTCCATGATGTCCACCCTGAAATTACATACAACCACACACACCCTGACAGGTGCGTAATGTGTTTAAAAATTTGATAATGCTGAATTTGACTTAAAACTGAGCTTTATTTTCTGTAATAAGACTGCCCTCCTCCTTCCCGACTCCACCCCATGGAGGGGTAAGGGGTAATACTAGAAATTAAACAAATAACTAGTTGCACTGTTCTTCAAAGAAAAGTGGATTATCATTTCATGTGTTAAAAAATGACCTTCAACAATCTTTAAAAAGTTTTTAAATTTTGCACATAATCTGTTTATTTTAAATACTTCATAAATGTTTTAAACAACCAAAATAAAAGAAAATCAGATTTTCAATAAGATATGTAAAAGATAAAGGCCTCAAAATTAGTGTAAAAGCATTTAAAGTGTGAAACTCACAGGAAAAACAAGCTGAAGGGCAGGTGAAAATTTCCCCTACCATCAAAAAAGCCAACCATAAATCTTACNAGCCAGGTGTCTGACTGATGGAAATCACAGAAATCCACTAGGTACAATATCCATAATTATAGGTATGCTTCAAAATGCAAAAATAAGGATTTGGGCAACTTAAAAAACACCTAAATATGAACAAGTGGGCATTCAAACATGCACTGCAATAGTGTCATATTAATTTAATATATATTTAAACATATATAGAAAGTTATATATAGATATACATAAAGCAACTGTGATCAAAGGAACCTCTTCTTCATAACTTTGGACTGGAATATCAAAATCATTATTCAGTCAGGGATGTTTATTAACTGTACAAGTAGGGAAGGGGGTAGGGGTACTGGAAATAAAATGGTTACTAAAAGAGACTTATTAATAAGATGGTGACTTAGTGCAGCAGCCGTGTCCTCTTGTATTATTCCATGCATTGGCCCTGAGTACTGAACAGAAACCCAAAATAATGAAGGCTTATAAGCTGGCAGCATACAAGCAGACAGCAGAATCTCAGTACGGGTCTATTGGTTTTAATTATATTGCGTTATATTTCATATAATATTTAACATATCATTTACATACCATTAGTGTGTGTGGTTGTATGTAGTAATAAACAGCACTAAAGCGGATTGCCTTGCCACAGATCCCAAAAAGCTGCAGCCAATCTTAAACCAATGCCCAGTTTTAAACCCTAAAAGTTTAACACCAAAAGCAGTGCTGTCCTTGTTTTTATGATATCATCATGGTAAATAGGTGTCAGTCTCCATAATACAATACTTGGAAATAATTCACTTTTTTCTAATCCCTCTCTCAGTGTCACAATGTATCAAACACAGCCAATCAGAACCTGTCATTCTTTTGACCAATGGGAAAGCTGTGTACAGTTTATGTACAACAAATGTTAAAAAAAGGAGGGAAGATGTAGAGAGAAAAATTCCATTATCTCAGAAGTTGCAGGACCCAGAGGCTGAGTGCCAGAGAGTTAAAGGCATATCAATAGCAGTATAAAGACAGTGAGGAAGGAGAGGAAGGTGCAGGCATATATAGGACTTGATTTATTTTAAGCAACATGGCAGTACACATTATACAGCTTATCAAAATTAAAATCAAATTATAAATAAATAAATAAACTTAAGTGCTATCATGCGCTTTTTAAAGGAACAGAGGAGCTGTCTAGTGCACAGAGTTATGGACAGTGTAACATACAAGCTGCCAAATATTCATAGGCTTTCTCTTTGGTCGAGGATCAGTTTCTAAGTCATCATAGGGAACCTCCATGGAGCCGGCTGTGTTTTCTCCTTTAATAACTGCAAACGGGCGTTGGCTGTGCTCAACAGAATCCACGTGTGATGGGGACGCAAAAACATTGGCCAACTGAAAGGAGTCGACATGAGAAGAAGATAGAATTTTTGAATCAGTACTAGCATTTCATCAACACCACACCAAGTAGCAATTGGCCGAGAGGTTCTTTGCAAGCCATGTCATGCATTACTCAATGACTAAATATGTATCACATGGTGCATGCACCGGGGTATATAGGAAATACATATGCAAATGATGCTGCTAGGGCACTTGCATTCCTTTTTTTTCTTCTAATTTTGGAATTTTTTTCAGGCTATCAATCAAAGAAATAAAAAAGATATTTGGCGTGGAAAAAATGTTCAACATCAGACATTCTGTACGAAATACCTTTTGAGTAAATCATTCAAACGCCAGATATAATGCATTCATGTAAGCATGTGACAGGCCTCACCATTATATACATTAACATGCTCCATGATGTCCACCCTGAAATTACATACAACCACACACACCCTGTCCAGTGCGTAATGTGTTAACAAAATTTGATAATGCTGAATTTGACTTAAAACTGAGCTTAATTTTCTGTAATAAGACTGCCCTCCTCCTTCCCGACTCCACCCCATGGAGGGGTAAGGGGTAATACTAGAAATTAAACAAATAACTAGTTGCACTGTTCTTCCAAAAAAAGTGGATTATCATTTCATGTGTTAAAGAATGACCTTCAATAATCTTTAAAAAGTTTTTAAATTTTGCACATAATCTGTTTATTTTAAATACTTCATAAATGTTTTAAACAACCAAAATAAAAGAAAATCAGATTTTCAATAAGATATGTAAAAGATAAAGGCCTCAAAATTAGTGTAAAAGCATTTAAAGTGTGAAACTCACAGGAAAAACAAGCTGAAGGGCAGGTGAAAATTTCCCCTACCATCAAAAAAGCCAACCATAAATCTTACGCAATGTTTTTAGCCAGAATCTTAGTGAAGCAAAGCCAATCTGTTGAAAACCAGGTTTAAAAGCATACTATTTAATGAAGTTGGGTGCCAAGATAAAAAGAAGATCTCCCAGGCTGGTGATTTTTATCTATTTATTTATTTTTCAAATTTGTTAAATTGTGCACCAAAGTTTACCTCAAAACTTCACAAGAACAGAGCCCCAAGGAGCAAATACGAAGTTTAATCTATACAGTGAAAACAGACCCTCAAATTTAAGAGCCATTTTGGAAACAGATATTCAATGTGTTTCAGTGCTGGGTGTAACAATCAATTTTGTCTCAGGATATGCATGTATTTTGGCCAACTGTGAAATCATTCTGTGTGCTGAAACAAGAGGCTATAGTTATCACATATATCCACCATCATTATCAACATTAATGGCACCAGCAATCTTCAAATATATACACATACAATTTCAGAGAAAAATAAACGTCATTGTCGTCTCCAAATTGTACAGTATATATACTGAGATTTAGCAAAAAGGATTGGATGAATAAATTCGATAGTTTAAAAGTAGTAATAAATCAATAATTTATCACGCAAATGTTGTTTTCTTTTTATATATAGGAATGTTACATGTTAAATGATGGTGGTTGTTCTCTCTACCATTGCACTAAAACATGAAATATCAAAATCATAATGAAAATAATTTCATGATAAATGAAATATACATTTAAAATATGTCATTACATTTATTACAATATACATGTATACATTTTACTAATCAAAGAAGTGAGAATTAAATATACAATTAATTTTAACAGCCACAAAATTTAATATTCACAGATTTTTGGCTAAAACAAACAATTCTGATAGCTTTATCAAACTTAACTGTTTCCCAAGTAAGCATAACAATTAAAATAGGTGGCTTTGATTCAATCTACCGATAACCAATGCTCTATCCTTAACATTTATAAATCATATAAATTCCACAATAAAATAGATACATAAACCTTACCACAAGGAATTCTTGCTTGTCCACCTGCTGGTTGCCATCTGTATCAAACATGTTAAAGGCTATGTGAAAGCCAGACTTGGGCTCTGAAAAAAAAATAAGAAGAAGAAAACAGGCTACTTACTTTGATTCAAAATTTTAGGCAAAAAAATGGCACTAAATATCTTGATGCAAATGGTGCTGCGTTTGATGAAAGCTATAATGCAAAACATGTAGTTTTAACCAACCAACACCGCCTCTGTAAAAGCTCAGTAAAATCACAACTCTATGTCACAACCAGCACAATAACCTCCCAAACAGATCCTCCAGAACACAGGTCTCTATCTCACCTACCACAATGCTCACCCAGCCATTCCTACACCAACCTGGTATAATTCAGTTATTTGGTTGCCCTTTCAGATTGTCTGTGGTCCAACACAGCAATATAGTAAATCCGTGAAGACACTGACATATCATTTAACACAGATCCCACTTGATATATCAACATCTAGGGACTGACCCCCCATCCCCCCCTCCAAAAAAAAAAAAAAAAAAAAAAAAAAAAAAAAAAAAAAAAAAAAACACCCAAAAGAAAAATCAATGATGGCTAGTTAACCACTACAGATAACTTGAGATAAATGATATGCCATCGAAGTGAAAAGAGTGAAACAAAAATTTCATAATAATAAAAATTGCAAAATGTTTCTAGATATGTTTTCAAGTCTTGGGAGGAAAAGAAGTGCAGTCATTCTATAGATATCAAAATCATTACAGCCTATAGTAATCCATGACCAAAGTGTTCCTTTCAACCAGGAAGAAACAGGAGAGATATTCTGAAACTTCCATAGAAGTATGAACGATGTCCACCCGCCTACCCTTGAGGCACATAGCAATCCAAAAAATGTTAGATTATTCAATGATTCTGAAAACAAGAGACCAAAGGACTGTGACAAGTCTGGAAGCAGAGAAAACAACCTGTGTGGGCAGTGTAATGGGGAAAAACAACACAATAACTGCACCAGTATAAACACTGTGCAGTCTTCTGTAGTACAGGGTCTTCTTGTAATCTTTTAAAAACTTTAGACAGCTGGGGAAGATAGTTGTGCTATCTCCCTTGGCTTTGATGTGGTTCTCCATTCAAAGTTCCATCAACAGCCAGCCATCTTTTGAAAAAAAATTTAGAAAATAGAAAGATCTCAGTAAGCAACAGTTCCCAAGAACTTCTTGCCAATGACAACATTTTAAAACAAAATTTCCCATTCATACATATGGCCTCCTTGAGCCTCGAGGTATTATTTCATGCCTGTTTCTGGTCTTAACAAGCTGAGTTATCACCAAACATGCTGCTCCAATGATTTTACTATAATCTCATATATACAGTATTGTGGTTCTAATAAAGGGAAAGTGCATTTCTCAGCTGTTTCCCCACTGGGATTTGATATAATGAGACCAAATGATGTCTTTTTTTTTACAGAACATTTTTCGCAGTTCAGTCCCTTAAATATATGGACTGGTGCACGCAGCACTTTTGGCTGCTGTAAAATAACACACACTTCCTTAAAATATCCAGTGATGGTAATCTGGTAATTCCTAATTCATTTGGAACCTGTTTAACTAAGTTAGGTAACAAGAAGCTAAGATTATGTGACATCACGCTCTGAGGGGAAATGAATCCAAACCAGGTTAACGGTGCTCCTCGACACAGCGAGGAAGGCTATTCTCAATAACAACTGCTGCAGATTTTGCCCAATTTTGAATGAAAATTCATCCAATTATGGCAGAAATTCCATCCAAGTTTTGGGTAGTTGCTTCAAATTATGAGAAAATCTATGGGAAAGCAGCGAATATCAGGACCAGGTAGTAAACAGGTCTTATCACTGAAAAAGATTAATGCCACCACCCCCCTCAAAAAAAAAAGAAAAAAAAAACGAGAGAGAGAGAGAGAGAGAGAGAGAAACTTCACACTGCTTACAGTAAAAAAAAAAAAAAGGAAAACATGTTTGAGATAAGATTTCCAAGACAACTCCTGTATTGTTACATCCAAAATGTCTGTTACATCCCCTACTTTACAGTGATCAAGTGAAAATAGATTATAGCTCAACCTTTTCATTTGTTATCTGGCTTACAAGTTTTTCTTGAGATGTCCTTAAAAAGTAGGTCAAGGAAAACCATTCACCTGTCGTCCATGAGCCTCATGAAAGGTGTGGCCAATATCAGGTGATCCTAGCTCACAACTTTTACAAGCAATTGCATTCACAAGTTTTTAAGAAGAACAGATGAACAGTCAACTTGCAGCCTTAATTCTTTAAATGCATTGGTCGGGAAAGGCACCAAATCAACAAAAAAGTTCTATGTGCATGAACACATTCTAAGATTTTCATTTACATAGAGGATCAAAAATTATTGGAATACCCACCCCCCTTATGAGAGAGAATAATATTTATATGAATCACTTTTTCTGGCCAGCAAACTCGAAATAGAGAACCCTTTTCATAAAAATTGCCCCAGTTACCAAGAAATTAAACCATTTCATCACATGAATTTTTACGTATTAAACTATGAAAATTTCTACTTACTTGTCAGCACACACAGCAGAAACAGGTACTCTGTGTAAGAAATTAAACCTGGAAAAAAACATAAAAACAATTAAAAAAATTACCTCAACAATTTTTAATGAGTCTAAAATAAATGCACTCGAGGTCATTGGTCCGAGCACTTTGAGAAACCAGAAACAATGAGATTTCAATGTTTTCTAACTTGTCACTGCAAGATGTAATGCAGTATACAACTTCAATTTGAAACCAGCGGGGATGTCAATTAGGAATTTAAGAAGTAGTGAATAACAGAAAATATTTTAAAATTATACAAACTGGTGCAAAATTTACCATCAACTACCACCCACGTGAGAAGCCTAAAACTGCACAAAAACATATTTAAAAACTCTTTTAATTACAAGCCAATCAGCAATATGGGGAGTTAAAACCAGTTGCTGTAGATGCAGTTCCAGAGTGGCAGGTAACCAGTTGCTGTAGACGCAGTTCCAGAGTGGCAGGCAACCCTCGATTAAGTACCAAGTAGCACAAATTTTGTTAAGTGTTTTCATTTAGCTTAAATGCTATATATAAGAATTTTGCTACCTTAAACATGCATTTAAAGAGTCAGAGTACTTAATGGTTTGTCAAATTATTGCTGTTTAATCTGATTTTAACCCCACTGTGAAGTTTCAAATAACTTACAGAAATACCTCAGTCCACAGAGTTCAGTAACATTATTTCAGGAAAAACCATATTAGCACAGATACTTTCTGCTTACCATCTGAGCTTTACAGACTGGCAAGACAATAAGTAGGTAATTTGAAGAAGGTGTAGTTATAAAGCCCTTTTCTGCTACCCAAGAAAATTAATTTTGGATTTTTTGGCATGTGGATTTTATTTTTGTCATGTAAGAAACTGGCATGGATAACTTATTTATAAACAGGGCATTTACTCTCATTTCACATGTATCTTTAATAGCTTGCTTTAGAACATAAACTGTCTAGTATAAATGCAATTTCAAAGCTACATGGCGTGATCATTCCAAAAAAAATTTTTTTTTTCCTGTGTCACAACTTGATGAAGTAAGCGTGCAATCAACGGAAACTATCTGGTGTGATACAATTTCAAAGTGGTGTGCAATTCCCTCAAGTACATAGCATAATACAAAAATTCTATTTCTTTCTTTCTTTTTTTGCAACTTCATCACAGAACTGTGCAATTAACAAAAAACGTTTGGTGTAGATGGGATTTCTATGTGTTGTGCAACTCCCTGAAGTGCATGACATAATACAAGGATTCCAATATGTATTTTTTTTTTCTGAGTCACAGCTTAATCATAGAAGTGTGCAATCAGCAGAAACTATCTGCAGTTCTATAACTGCAGTTCCCAATTGGCAGGCATCTCCCCTAAGGCATGACATAATACAATAGACTCACTGTGCCAAAAACAACATTCTTCATGGTTCTAGTTCTCTGTGTGTAAACCCAAAAATGTCAAGTAGCTGTATATTTTGGTACAACTCACTACCGTCACCCCATGGTTCTCCAAACTACATACCTTTTGTGCCATTGAAAAGAAACAGTTTCAGAGGGAATATTATCATGATCCTCATTTCTCATCATCTTACTAGTATTAGTGTAATTTAGCATTTTTACCTGTAGTTCCATCTTTTTTCTTTCCTTTTTCAAGAATGCAATCGTCCCTCTTTCTCTCTCTTTTTCTTTTTGTGAAACATAAATTTGTGTCTTTTTTTTTCAACTTTTTAGTTATTTTTTTTTCTTTTCAACAAAGATAATGTCACGTAGCATTTTTGGTTACTTATCTGCAGTTTCCCAGCAATAAAAATCACAGTGATGCATTGGTGTTAGGATGGGACCCAAGATATCTTAAATCAATACATCTGCTTTTTTCACAAAGGTGTTTTTCAATTTTCACTGTCAGTCTTCTAGACTTACATTTAATTTATTCTGAATTGTAAGTGGGAGAACAAGAATTAATGAAAACATTTTTTTTTTCTTTTTCACAATATCAGCATGTTAAGCAGTCAAAATAGAAATGAAGAGAAAAACATATTTACATATATATATTGCTGGTATATTTGTTTGCCCAAAAGGCTGTAACTAATCTGAAAAACATGTTAATAAATTTCTCTCTGAAGCCCACTGTGAAGGGACAGTTACACAGAACATGTTCTACCATTTGTATACTCCCTACATAACAAAACTGTCAGTAACTAACTTCAAATCTAATGCGGTAAATTTTTCAAAAACTATTTTGCTGCATGTGTATATCCTTATGGCCTCATTCAAACAATTTGGTGGTAATTCTTCAAAGTAGTACATAGTTAGCCAGGATTGATTTTAAACCTCTTCTAAGGCATTTTGTCCAAAGTCTCATTGGCACCTCTTATACATCATCCTTACATTTCTTTGAAGGCAGACATACCTTGTGACTAAACAATCAGTAAGTGAACTCAGAAGGTCAACTGGCCAGTCATTGCAAGGGTCACAGGTTATTCCAAGGTCATCTAGTCTTTGATAAATTGGCAGAACACACACACACACGCGCACAAAAAAAAATCAATGCAAAATGCCAATATTGAATCTGAGACTTGTTTGCAAAGGTACAAATTTTTCTTATTCTTACGTAAAAAACAGTAAATATTGAAATGCAATTTCTTCTTTTATGAGAATAGAATCCAATTCTGAAGAAAAAGATACTACTTTTTATTCACAAACAGGCCCAGATAATGTCAATCTTACACTTAAATCATGGTCCTTGGGACAGCCCCAATTGCATCTATTTTCAAGAATGATAGGAACAACTGCAGCAGTTACAGTAGTATGGTCCAGTAAAAACTGGAAAACTTTGATTTGTTTGGATTGGCTCAGGTCTCTGAAGGAGGTCTCCAAGGGATTTGACGGGTATTTGTGGGAAAGGCTAGGTGAATCCAGGCACATGCAAGTCACACCTTCAGACTGCCATATGCTGTTCACTCACGACTACTGCTACATGCCACGTGAGTATTGTATTGCTGCCACTGTATTGGGCTGCAATGTATTATTGGTAACACTGGTTTCATTATTGTTGTAATTAGCTTTTAATTCTGAAGAAATGTTATCAGTTATACACATTTTGCAACTCTGAAAATATTTACTAGTGTAGTTTAGCAATCTATTGACTATTGTAAGAACTGCCACTGATTTAGCATTCAGATTACATGTTTAACTTAAAAGAAGCCTTGAAAACTTTGTCTTTGTGAATGTGCATTGGCATCCATAGTTACAAAATATACAGGGTCTATATAATGGTGCCTACGCACTTAATGGATAGCAACACTGCTTGTGATATTTTCATTCATGTCACTGTCACCAAAAACCGTTCATATAAGCATCATTACAACTGCTGTCACAGGGCACAGTGCAATCATCAAGGCATTGTATAACTGGCAAAATATAACCTATCCATACACATTTGCTACAAGTGTCATTGGAATGCCATTGTTCCTCCACACACCAATTGGATCAATTACTTAGATTCATTAGAGCAACAACTGTGCACTGTTACTGTCTAGTCCAATCAATGGCACTGCCTTCTGTGCACCTGCTGCAATCTTGCAATAGCTCCTGTTGCTATTATTATCACCACTTTTTTGTGTTTCCCCTTCCTACAGCAACGGTTTCTATTTATTTTGGACCAGGAAAATTACAAAAATAGTTTCAAAAGTACAACAAATTTAACCAAAACGTCAACTAAATCATAAGGTTATAATCGGTAATATGTCTCGGGTTTCCGTTTGAAATGGCTCGATATATATATTTTTGTGTTGGCTTTGGAATATTTTACATAACTCCATTGTAATGTAATACCAAATTAGCTGCACTTTCTGTGTGATAGTGTCATGTTGTTTCAAGGGAGGGCTGCTGTGGTTCACCAGGTTGCTCAAGCTGGCTGGAACTAACTAGGCTTGCTGTCAGATGGAGACATTCTTTCAATTACTGCGACTGAATTACTATAGAAATAAAGAATATAGGAAACTTCAGAGTAGAAAAAAATAAACAAAATAGCTGCAGGGTTTTCAAACAGGGGCAGAAGGCCAGGACGAAAAGGAATGGGTTGCACATTTTTCATAGCTGTGAAGTTTTGTTTCTGCCCATCTCTCCTCCCCTCCCGATTGGGTAGGAAAGGGGAAGTTGCAAGCACTTATTTTTCAATAAATTACAGACTACAATTGTTCAAATAAAAAAACTCGGCGAAAGAAATGCAATTTTAAAAATTTATTCATTAAAAAAAATTGCTGCAAGTTTACAAACTTCATGGTTCTCCAAATTATGAGAAAAAGCTTACACGGAAAAGAACCAGAAACTAATTAACATGTTTCTAGAAACATGCATTAATGTGTAGATTTTGCAACCCAGTGCATGCGAGTGCTCAAGCGAGGGCTTATTTTCTACCATAACTGGCACCTTCACAGACAAACACTAGTATAAAAGTTGTAGAAAGACATTTTATCTTATCTTGTCCTAACAGATCCACATTTTCACTACAACTGATGAGACTTTCCAACTGGGCTCTAGGCTAAGGTGATGACTTAGAGAGGAAGTTTACACTCCACACTGCCAAAACCCTGATGGGTAGTAAGTGGACCCATGTTTGACTGAGTGTTAACATACCCAGTGATACTTGACTGCACTAGATATCTGTCATGTCTTAAAACACAAAAAAAAAGCCATATTCCATACCCTGAAAACCTCATTCACCCTCCCCCCCCCAAAAAAAAAAAAAAAGAGAGAGAGAGAGAGAGAGAGAGAGAGAGGGGGGGGGGGGCGCTGGAGGAGGGGAGGAGAAAGAGCACCTCTTCATCAAAACTTGTCAATTCCAAGTACCAGTGATAAGTTATTTCTAGCTCTGTCATTGCCACTTACTTTTAATAGTTTTTACTTGATAAGGTGAAGAAAAGGAAAACTTTTTCTTATAGTTACTGCAATAGCCTCAACTCTTCAGAGACAAGGGTATGAGGACACAAAGATGCACAGGTTTCTGGGTATACCAGCAGCTCTTACATAAATTTTCTCCAGTGAATAAAAAGATTATCTAGAAGGGCACATTTATTTTATAATAATGAGTGTTTTGGCAGACCAGGTAATAAACATTGGACTTATTTTTTAATCAAGACCCTATTGGTGCAGTCAGTACTGCACAGGGCATATAAAGCCAGAATTACTGAACACCCCCTCCCCTCATCAACCCCCAACATGCACAATTACACATCTCTTGATAATCCACGGTGAGTCAACTGTTTTTCAAAAAATAGCAAACTTGCACAAACCACTTCCAATTTAGATTGCAATCATGATTGTGAACACGGGTGAATCATTCTGGCTAAATTCAAAGGCTTGGGCATCAAAGCATTGATCGTTCTCCATTAGGGAGATTATTTCTAGTCCGTTATCCTCCCCGTGACAGCACTTTGAGGGCAGTGTCAACAAACAGATATTGCATTATGATCTCCAAAACTGGAAAACAATCAGGTGTGACTAGACCACAGGGAGATGATTCACTGAGCGTGTTGGGCTATCTCAACATCTAATCTCAACTAACACATTTTACTTAAAATCCACACACATACCCACCAATACCTCTGACAGATCTACATATAAATAGATGAAGTGGGCTTCTCATATATTCCAGATTCCTTCAGATAACAGCAAAAAAATGTGGTAGTATAATACCTAACCTACAAAGAGGAGATAACACTGCATACTGTGGAATGCATTGTCAGTATTATGAGGTTTTACACAGTGGCTGTTATCACTATTATTCTTCCCCAGAACAAATACTTCAAATAACAACCAGAAGATTTTTATCTTGGATTTTGTACCGTAATTAAGGCAGTGACGTATTTGTGGCTTGTATCCCTCATCTTTCTCCTTTGTAAAAAAAAATGATGATTTGTTGATTTAAACTATAAGTGCTGGCTCAGCCACTTCACACATCCAGTTATAATACTTAGATATCTCTGTCCAAAAAAACAAACTATCACCATTTATGCTTACTCATTGTTGACCATTTTGGCCATGTGTTCATTATCTTATCTTTTTCATCAATACAAGGATAGAAAAAATAATGATAATAAAACCAAATAAAACTTATGGTGACAGGTGGAGCGAGCTTATTGTAATGTTAGGGCTAATTTAAAACTGCTGAAAAACCATACCAACACTCTCTTGTACAGAAAAGACAAAACTATTTTTGATGCACAAAGTTTGCCTCTGGAAAAAAAAAAGCATTCTATTGTCCAAGGTAAAGTTTTTGGACAGTGTCAAAGAACAGCCCCATCCTAGCTTACCAACTTAGGCTTCAATGTCTACCCAACCTGTGGAAAATACAAGGCAAGATTTTTATCAGATGGCGTTGAAATACCCCTAAACGTACAAGGATATCGTAAAATCTAAAATTCTTATCTTTTGAAAAAAAAGTGTCCCATTCATCACAACTGTAGATAGGAAAAGATAAAATAGAGGAGCTGCTATAATTAGGGATAGTTAATGCAGCTGACGTGGTAAAGGTCAGCGATGAGCTGCATACCTGAGGTGTCACGGCATCAGGAGACCAACCTGAAACGCGACTTTTTTAACACCTGCAGACATTTTTTATTGTTTCCCCAATTATAGGATAATTTAACCACAGGTGTTTGTTTAAAACATTAAGAACTATATCATTTGGCAGCTGACAGGAAAGTGACAGTCCCTGACAGTTATAAAATTCATTGCCACATAACACCCACATTAGAAGGAATCACGAAGTCCCTGTTGACAGCTATATATATATTCTTGAACACCCTTGGATCAAAATAGTTCTGCCTAAAATAAAACTACAAAACTTAAATTATCTCCTCTTTATCAATTGAGTATTCCATAAATTGTCTACTAGAAGTTTTATATTAATCAAATTATTAATATTTTCAAATATTGTTTAAGATACAAAATGGGGCATTGCCATAACAAATAAATAATTTGATAAAGCTGCCTTGGCCTTCCTAAAAACACAATGCCATCTGCCTATTTAATGAATCGATTATCTTTTCAACAGTCAAATTCCAACCTCATTTTTTCCTTGATCCACTTTAAAGTCGTCAATTCTTACATGATGAGGATTAACCAGTTTTAAAATTAACCATCATCCAAATACCAGATATCCAGTATCTAGGACAGTATTGTTCACACAAAGATATAACATCACTACCCTCACTGACACCTCTTCACCCCTTTCTTAAGGATGCCACAGCGTCTTCTTTTTCAAAGGTGTTAAGTCTATCTACACAAATATAAGTTATCGCAAGCTGAAGTTGGACTCAGTTGACACCGACATGAGTGGGATCTAATATCTTGCTAATATCGTAGAAAAATTTGGTTCTTCTGCACCTTCAGCTTTTCCTTTTCTTTTCTTTCTTTCTATTTTTCAAATTACCATACCAGAATCATATAACCAATTTTCATTGTCACGATTTCAAAGGTTTTGGTATGCAGTTGGAAACAGCAAAGGCAAAATGGTGTATAAAAAAGAATTGGAAAACAGGTTTCCACAATGAAGTTAACTATCGAGTGCTACCAAGTGTGCATCCCGCACCTGTTTTATCACCAGCCACATTGCAACATAGAAATTACATCAAACACAGGGAAAAGTTGCCATTTCCACGTGCTTTTAAGTATAGGTCAAAAAAAGCTCTACAATGACAAGAATCTAATACATTCAATCCATCCTGTGTAATGACTTACACCAGTTACTTAATGGTTTGCCTGAGGCATAGTGTTAGGCAACAGGGGGAGGTTATTCATATTTAAAACTTCTGGGTAGTTTTTTCTGAACTGTAAGACAGTTTCCAACTCACTTAATGCCCAAATAACTGTTATCTAAGGGTGGCACAAGCAATAATTTTGTTTTGTATCTATTATACCTGATATTGTAATTTGAATTCAGACATTCTTTTCAGGATTATCATATCCTTTTCAAAAATTCACTTATTGCTTTAATTTTATTTTCATTTTATACAAAAATACCTTTTGAATGTTTTAATTTACATATCATGAAAAGATATATTCAAATAAAAAGCATACAAATACCATTATCACATTAAACTATTTCCATTTTAGCAATCAATGTAAAAATATGGGATTCCACAAAATAACCTGCAATTCTTATACCGAAGACAAAGCACGACACATAAATTGTGAGAAGGGATGTCTGCTGAATATTTGGACAATTTAAGATTTAAGTGTTTAGTTAATGCGTTCAAAATATCATGACTTTTATGTCCTGTCATAGTGTGGGGCCTTATGTGTTATGAAACGCAGGTTCAGGCAAGTCATACGGCCTAAGACCTGCAGGGGAAAATGGTGCACATTTTTCCCACACCAACAAACAAAAGATGTTTTACTGATATTTCACATTGACGTTGGTGGGAACCTTTGACTATTTCTCCATCTTTATTGATGAGAAAAACATCAAGGGAGTGCCACTTGGATGAACCAATGAGGTGAGCAATGAATGTGATATAGTCAATATTTTTGAGTTCTTTTATTTTTCACGTGCGACATTTGTATATTAATTGCCCACAAATACCTCTGAAGAAACTTTTTTAAGAGGGTGAAATCCTTTTTATGACTTACCTTTATCATGTATAGCTCGAAACAGTTCTATGGAGCCTTTGTGTCGTGTTGGTGTGTCTGTTAGCCATTTTTTTACTTCTATATCTCGCAGATAACGTCTTCTTACACGATCTGTAACATAAATGATTTGAATGTGAAAAAGCTTTTCTCACAGAACAGTGAGATTATGAGATTAATTTTATAGACCAAAATTTCCAATCTGAAGATAAAGCATAAATTTCCTTTTTGTCTGAACATCTTTAATTTTACTCAGTCTTGATTTGAAATTTATGACAATGGATGCACTGTAAAAATAACACGAGTTAAATTCATTAATATAATAACGGACAAACTAGGAATATATTGAAAAACACACATGCACACAGATGACAACCTATATATAACAACAGACATATATATATAAAACAACAGACATATACCCACAGTCATCTACACACATACAGATCTTATTAACGAAATAGGTGTTCACGATCTTGAGCCTCAGGTTTGTGATTACAAATGCAGAATTAACGACTCAAACAAATATTTTGTTACACAAATGTTAAAATAGTGGTTGTGAGAACTACAATAAAAATCACAAATTTTTAATCTTCTTACCTACTTGTGAGGTACATTCCATTTGTATTATTCCTCTATTGAAAATAGTTCGGAGTTGATAAAAAGAAATTATGTGTAACCAGTGAGAGACACACATGAAAGTTGGTCAAATTGCTCCTACGTGATCACAAACAGTAATTATCGTTTATGACATACAAGCATATAAAACTTTTTTTCCCTTCTAAGTTAGTAGCCCATGTTCAGCAAATCAACAAAAATAGCTTCTGACACACCTGTACTAAAAGCTGTAATGTCAAGTTTGCACTTTATTTCCAACTTTTTGTTTTGTCTAACATGCTATATAGGACTATTTAAAGATACTATCTTACAACCCTTTTCTCAATCTCTGAAGTGTGTTGTGTCTGCTCTGAGGTTGCTTACTTAATTACTATCTGTCTGCCGCTAAATAAGAGATCAAAATATGGTCATGCTTTTAAATCTTGATGATGGAACCTAATTAACTAGAAGCTTTATGTCCACATTTATAAATTACAAACAAGCCCTATTCGCCCACTAAAAAAATATAATTTTCTGATATGAATATCCTCCTTCTACCTACTCAAATGGTGGTCAAGTCTCAGCTCTCATCAAAGTAAATGTAGTACACTAGGGAGCCAAAACCTTAATTTAATGTCACTGAAAACAGATAAGATATTTTTCTCCAGTTGTAATGCTACTCCTTTCTAGTCAAGTTGATAGATGTCTGTCTATTCATGTTTACAGCTCCTCCTAATTGAATCCTGTAGATTTTTTTTTTCTTCATCTTAAGACACGCTTCCAACGGGGGAAAGCCAAACCTTACTAAGTAAGACCTATTTCGGTAAATCAACCGATAACAATTTTAGCCAACTATGGAGACAATAATCAAGCAATACATGACATTAAAATTTCAATGGAGCTTTTTGGACAGAAGGGTGATTAGATTTGCTCCCTCTGGTGAGATAATCGCAATCATAGGTCCTGCCTGTCTGTCAGGTTGGCCCATCTCTGATGGGAACAGGCCTGAAGGCTCACTCGGAAGTTAACTTCATTTCAATTTCTGTAATATCTACTTCAGGAAAAGGGGACTGATAGCAGGGTTGTGGCTGTGGACCCTACACCTGTATACAGACATGAGTCTAGGTTTAAAAAAAAAAAAACCCTCTGAACATTTATCATGGGACCCAACACCTAACAGGCCGGGGAATCTCGGGAACCATCAGAATTGAATTAAAAAACGTGGAATTCCATGTTTCTGCAGAAAAAGTCTGTGTATATCAGACATGAGCCTAGGTTTAAGAAAAACCTCTGAACATTTATCATGGGGCCCAACACCTAACCTTGGCAAATCTCAGGAACCATCAGAATTGAATTAAAAAACGGAATTCCATTTATCCACAGAAAAAAGCTCAAGTCTGGTATATTCTTTATGTATCTATATAAAAAACAATATAATTTGTCAGTTTTTTTAATTGCTCAAATCACATCTTCATCCCCATCCACACCCTCCACTGAACCATCTCATCTTTGGAACAAGTTCTAGTTGGTTGTGGTTGCAGTTGAAGACCTGCATGTTAACCATGAAGATGTAAGGGAAACACTTCGGTATTATCAGGACATAATCCATCTACATGATACCACGTTTTAGGGTGCAACTCATTTCAAATGATCCTACAATATTATTCTTTTGTTTGTTGTTGTTGGAAAAAGTACTTTTTGTTTAGACTTGCATGGAGACTGTCATTCAACCTAAAATGAAACACCAGTTTGAATAATGTGATGACTTAGTTAGGGCCCTTTCCCAATAAAACTATCATTTTACGTAGATCGATCCAACTCCTTGGGTCTCTCGCTGAATGCAATCAGATTAACACACCTCCTGCTGGTGTTGAGTAGAAAACAAAAAAGATGATAATTATTTAAGTATGTTGGAAACAAGAGCAGGCATATTAATATGTTAAAATTCTTGCATTCAGTGAAAGTCCCCACGGAAATGGACCTATCTTCGTGAAACAGTAGTTTCATTGTGAACAAGCCTACGGAAACAAACACATATATATATATATATATATATATAATGCCAGCTATTTTTTAATCAAGTTTACAGAAGCATGGAGATTAACAAAATGTTGAAGTGACACTTTCATAAAATTTTTATTTTGCCTTTTGTTAAATTACAATTTCCATGAAATATCTAAGGCCAAATAATGCAGGTCACAGATTTATTTTATGGAATTTTTTTCAATTTTTAAAAATGATTTTCCAAAGCCACAGATAAAGAGAATTCCAGGTTTATCTGTCCAGCCTGCCAGTCATGACTGAACAGGAAGCAATACCAGCATCTGAGGAACATCCTTACCAACATTTAAATGAAACACCTCCCTCCTTTTGCCAAGCCACTGTGACAGACTCCACTTAAAACACTAAGGACTGGATTAAATCAACCTGCAATAAACCAATTACTCTTTCAATTATGTCCGGTGAAATATGAATATAGAAATGACATACATCAAAGGGAGGGTGGAGTAATCTTGAAAGATCAGTTAACCCCCATAACAAAGCCTCATTAGTAGAGATGATGCTACTTGTAAATGTAAAGATCATGGTGATGAGTAATAGGGTATTTTTACAAGAGACAACCTATCTTGTCTGCCTGGAAGTGTTCTGGACACTGATGAGAGAGCTTAGGATACTGGAATCTTGCCTGTAATTCCAGCAGCAATTACAACACAATGACAGATTGAAAATATAACTACATCTCAAAGAGAAAGATTTTTTCTCTCTCTCATTAACAAAATATCAGGCCTGAAGCGAAGTCTTCTCACAAATTTGCTGCAAATGTGCCAGAAGGAATTTTACCATCCAAATGAGGTATGCTGCAAATTTGAAAGAATATGAAGAGTTGTCAGTTGTCTTGTCAGCTTGCTGCAAACTTCAGATGCTCTAAAAAATTTGCAGAAAATCTGCAGCAACAATTTTGCATGCAAATTTGCTGCAACCATTTCATTGTTCTGAAAGAGATCTGTTCTGCATAATCAGTGCCATTATTGACTGTGTCATTTCCTATCCATTTTTTTTTTTTCTTCTTTAAGGTCAAATAAAGCAAACTCTAGGAAAACCAGCAGGTCCAACAAGCAACTTTGCTTGAAAAAAAAAACTGAAAATGTGCCTCTTTCTTTTCTCTTTTCCTTGTTTTGCATCATTTTTTTTTCCATTTTTTTTCCAACATAAACATAGACACTACACCTGAAACAACAGCAAACCCTCTGTGATCAAACCTAAAATGTCAAATCCCCAACATCAAAGCTTTGTTCTGTAGGCAGTAATGGCATGGTGTCATCACTATAGCTTCTTGAAACTCAACAAAAAACAAGTGGTATCACAGTTATGTCTACAGAAGCTTTACCACTTCATCATAGAAAACAAGGCCTGTCTGTCACCAGGAACACCCAATGTGACTGATGGTTAAGACATGATATGTTATATTAGTTTAGAGGAAAGAACTCTTTTTCAATATTTAGTATGTGGGCATGTGGTGCTTGTGTTTGTGCAAATGTTTGTAAAAGTGTGTGTGTATATCCATATAACATACATTCACAAATTGCTCTAAAAGGTCTAACAACACACTAGAACTTGATAATAATAGATTTACAATAAAACTTCAGTCAAATTAATTTTTTCTTTTCTTTTTTTTAACCTAAAGTAAACAATACCCCCTTTTGCATGTCTGTCACAATTTCAACCAGATTACCTGAATGACATTCCAGTCTTGTATCCATCTTATTGGAACAATCAAGTTAAACTTATGATGATCATAGGATGCTCTCGATCACCAATTGTTGCCACTGTAGGGCAGAGAGACCTGGAGCATTCTAATCACTGATTATCATGTCTCAGGTGCATCAGTGCCTTTACCATCAGTTCCCAACAATGGCAAAATTGTAAAACAAATCATTATCATCACCTTAATAACTCATTTAAGGGGGGATCCTAGACAGCATCGGTTTCATTTGATGTGGTGAGTTGAATTACCCAGGACCTTTTGTGATAAAGAAAATAAAAAGAGAATGAAAAAACAACAACCCACAAAAGTCTTCGGCATTTTAATAGCAAGTTGTATTCAGTCGCTTTTAGTGACTTTGACACTGACACAGTGTATTGTTACATATGCTGTCAAATCTCAGCAAAACCCCATTCCTAAGTGGTCTGTCTTCTCACTGGAACCACTTCTCCAACATGACATATCACCACTGACAAATGTTACAGGGTAGCCTATTAGCACTGCCTTTTTGATACTCCCAACATTCTCACTGATACACGCACACATATTAAAGACCCAAGTAGAAGACTATGGATCAGGTACAGAAGTGCACACACAGATACTCAGATGGGTAAGCAATCGGGGATAAGACATAGGAAGTGCTTCCAGACAAAGCATCACCATAGTTAAACATGATATAGACAAAGTGTGGGAATACCTGACACAGCTGGTCACAGGTAAGACAAGTATACAATACCATGCTCCATACAAGTTC